CATCAAAGTTGCTCAAAGCCAGTCGTTTCCATGGTCTGGTCGAAGCGTTACCAGGCTTGAAATCGATTTTCACCTGTGTGTGTGTCTTATTCGGGCCTAGATAATGAGCCAAAATATTACGTTGAGTTTGGGGCGATTGTGGTTAATATGACGAATTAGTTATTAACCTCGTGTTTGTGAAGGTTTAAAAACTGGTTTTCTGCTGAGGCCCTTTCTTAAGGGGCTAGGAACAAATGAGGACGGCTAGTGATTAGTTTGACCCAATATAGGGATGGAAGAATTTGTGGGGTGGCTGCACTTTGAAAGTTGCAAGGTGCGAGTTTTCAAGAGTTACACCCTTTTTGCAGTTTCCAATTTGTCCATCTTTTTTTTAAAGATTTTTTTAAATATCAAAAAAGAATGCAAAAGGTTAGGAAATGTGTGCTATTTGCAGAATTGAGCTGAATGGGGATTTCTTTTGCATCATGACAGTATGTCAATAGTAGCCACGATGTGTAAGGCCTTGTCACTTTTAATAATGAGGAAAAACGGTTTTTGAGCTCCTCAGTTTTCTCAGAGTATGGCGGAGTATTTCATGGAAATTTAAGAGAACTAGCAAGCCTTTTCCGCGAGACCTTGTGTTAATACGCTTTTTGAAGCCGCTTTTTTGTGCTACGGGCCATGCATTTGTTAAAGTATACTCGACAAATCATTTCATGCTTCCTCGTCTATGGAAGATGATATCATTTTTTCCTTCCAATGTTTCTCTGAAATATAAACGATGGAGACTGCTAAAAGGGAAATGTTTGCTCCGAAATTGTGTAAACAAAAATGAAAGTAAACGTAGAAGTTCAGGGCGAATACTTCTATATCCATATTCTCAATTTCATTTTAGAGAGTTTTCAAAGGGCACATATTTTTTATTGGATTGGCTTTTCAACTTACGATAATTTCTACCTTGTTTGGCAGAGAATCTCACGAGGCTGAAACTACGTTTTCTTAAAGCATTCATAAACAACAAGAAAACGACCAAGCGGATCATTAATAGATATAAAGATGGTTGAGGTGCAGCGATCATAAACTCTTAAAAAAACTTCTCTCCCATTCTCTCGATGAGTATTTGATTTTGGGATATTTTGCAAAAATTCTGTCTAGCATGCTCTTTTCGATCAAATCTTGGACTCGATTTGTTCGAGTTTCCTTATGAGAGCCTTTGGAGAAATTAATGATATCAGCTAACTGAATAATTTCAGACCAAGTTCGAGTCGTCGGACGACGAGGGCAAAGGAGAAGCCGATATGGACATATCAGGCACAGATAGTAATGACTCAGTACCAGCAATGAATTCAAAGGAATCTATGGAATGCCCGGAAGAACTGGACACGTCTGAGGTAAAGGAAAAGAAAAAAGAGAAGTCAGAATGCGCGGTTGTTGAAAAGAAGGACAACAAGAAATCTGATGACCGTAAAGATCGAAAAGAGGAAAAGAAAGATAAGCGTAAGGATGATGATCGTCGTGAACGTCGTGAGGAACGCTCAGAAAGGTCTCGTGAGGACCGTTCAGAAAGATCTCGTGAGGACCGTTCAGAAAGATCCAGGAAGGATGACGACAGATCTGATGATAGTCGGCGATCGAAGAAATACAACGATAGTGATGATGCTCGACGACCAAAGAAATATCCAAGCAGTGATGATCGTGAAGGGTCGGGCAAGTGAGCATTATGAATACTTTCTTTTTTTTNTTTTTTTTACTTCGAAATTAATACTTTGGTTTAATAGGGAAATACCAGCCTTCTAGGGATATTTCAGTGAATAAATGCTGATTTACTTGATAATTGGGCAGTTACATTGCAATAGGAGATTACCACCATCAACTTAGTGGGAGGGAAAATTTTTAGCAGATGTTGATAGTTCCTAAAAATTCAGCTAATTTAAGTAACTACGCTTGAGATTGGAGATGATAAATTTTCATATATCAAAATGAATTTTGTTGCTTTTTGAATGAAAAAAACTTCTTCAGAAGACCACGTAGAGATGATCATGAAAGTGGAAGATCTGATCGTGACAGTCATCGAGGAGGTCGAAGTGGATGGAATCGTGACGATAACAGACGTCGCGACGACCGTCGGAGTTGGGATGAAAGGGATCGATTTCAGAGGGTACCCATTTACAGAGTTGCTTAAAATTCTTTTTTCTTTTGTTCTTTTGAATCCAAAAAGTAAACTTTTTCGAAACTTTCAAATCATTGAATTACGGTAAGCAGGAATTTGACGATCAAATTTCTTTACATTCCCCGGTTCAGAATTTTTCTGACCATCGTCTCCGTAATGATTACACCATGGTTTAAGCGTAATACCGCACACTGACCATGTCATGGTGCAAGGTTTCTTCACAGGAATATACTTTTTGGTTGGCAAAGGGAATTCTCATCGTGTCTGGTGTTCCTGCAGTTGATATTACAACGAGCAAGCATTAGGCTGTGGCAATTACTGAATTTGTGAAGTCCGCGAGGTTTTTTCTCAACTAAATCCGTTTTCTGCTGCGCTCATTACTCACGTAATGTAGCAGAACTACACCTCACATTGTCTTTATTGGAAGATTCGGTAAATTTTCAAGTAAAGTTCATAAGTAAGTTCTAATACATACATATTTCCCCGGTCGGGAATGATCTCCATATGAATACCTGTTCTACCTGGCTGGGTAATCTAGGTTCCTCCCATAATATTATTTTTATTCTCTTCGTCACCAATATTACCAGTTTTGGCTTGCGGCGCAAGCGGTGCACTTCTAGAAGACTAATATTATGGTTTGGTCTCAGCTGCATCATTGGTGGATGCAGCTACGTCGGACCACGTCGCCGATGCTGGCTTTTAGAAAGACGATAGACGAGATCGTGATGGCGGTATGAGACGTGGCGGTCGAGGGGGCAACGAAGGTGGATATCGCTTTGGCGGACGAGACCGTAACGATGACAGGGACGATAAATGGAGAGGAAAAAATAGGAACAAGGATAGGTACGATTTCTGAGTTGTCTTACTCTTTTCATTGCAAACTCTCTTCTTGCAGAGAAGACAGACATACGACATGGGATATTCGTCCGAGTGCGGAAGAGGTTGCCAAACAACGAAAACTGTTATGGTCAAAGGCAGGATCCAATAAAGAAGTGAGTAAACTAACAAAGGGTTGGATTATTCAAGTTTAAGATTAGACGTTTCTGTTCAAGGGAGCTGCCGAAGCTGGTGAAGGAAGCGGTGCAGCTGCTGCATCGACAGCACCCAGTCAAGACAAGAACGTTGGCTTGTGGTCAAGCGCGATCACAGCCAGTGGTGTTGCTGGTGACCAAGCAAATAAGTTCCTAAAACTAATGGGTATCAAGAATGTGCCGGCCGTGGATCCAGCAAAGGTTAGTTGCAACGTTATGCGAATTTTTTTTTCAAAATTCTTTCGTTGATACTTTTTCCCAAGATTGGCTGTGGCTTGTAGGCGGAGCCTGTTGACTGCTCTTGCTTTTATAGGAGGATAGCAATCGCCTCAAGGAGGAAAGTGAAAAGCAGAAAAAGATGATGCGTGATTTGGATCGACAGTACGAGATTGCACGTGAAGCCACACACATGGGACGTGGCCTAGGACTTGGATTCCATCAATAAAAAGTTACGGTGTTGGTGGTACGTACCTTGAGGCATTTGTTTTTGCATGCTTCTATATTATCTCATAACCTCGCTAGGAATCTGTATGAAATGAGTGATTTTCTTGAAAGTCGCTGTTTTGATTGAATTATATCCGTGAGATACTCTATTCTGTTCAATGTACAGGGCCAAGCCAGCCGTTTATTGATTGACGCGTAATTCAGAGTGAACGTTTGAAGATAGGCCCCTTAACCGAATTTGTCGTTGGCTTTTTTTCTTGCTAAAAGGGTAATCTGTTCCCATGACGTCAAACCTAAGGCAAAGCCTGAGCCTTGGGCATGTTGAAATTCATCTTCAAACGATCACATATAAATCTGAAGGCTTTTTATCTCACATCGTGAGATACTAGATTAGATAGAAACAGTGTTTGTCGGCAAAATTTTAATAAGCGATACCTCCTTAATGGGATTCGTAGATCTCTCGATTGAGAGGTTGATCAGGTCCCATGATGGAAGTATTATTCAGCCCAATCAGGCGCCCAGTGATCCTACCATTGCCACCCGACTACCGGAAAAAAAGAATAGATCAAATGGTTCATTAATCACACCCTTTTTATCATCTCTGGAATCATCCTTGATCGTTGCGGATCATGACCGTACCGATTAAATGCTAGTTTCCGGATATGGGAGAGCATGAGGAAACGTTTAATTGTCCATGATTGTTGATGTTTCCATCGCTCCGCTAACTGATGACTTCGATTTCGATTGTCATGTCTCGTTCGCGCCCACTATCACTTTGGATTATTCATGATGTTGAGGTAATTCATTGTTGGGACCAAACTTGATGTTTGAGCTCAAGGTGTTGTCGTAGTTTTGTTTCATTCTAGATTCTCACTTAAAATGAGCAAGACTTACTGCTCTGCTGTCTGAGTTCCTTATGCTCTTGCGTGATGTGTGGGACTGGTGATTGGAGGTACTCTACAATCCATCCGCCCTTTGCATGCGTTACGCTACCTTTTGGGCTGGGTTACTGTGCAATACCCTTCCTCACAAAGATTGAAAGAAACGATGGAGGAACTCATTTGGGAGGGGAAAAGGATTAAGCCTCGAGGGGTAACCCATGATGACCTTTTTTTTTTCGAGGAAAAGGGCATTCGATTGATCGTTATTTATATGTTCTAATCGCCACAAGATTGAAACCTATGAATATTTGGCTGAATATTATGCCGTTGTTTTTTCATATATGTATGATTTCAGTTCGTTCAGTTACTTACAACAATAGTTAATTGTCCACTGTTTATTTTGTTTATTCGGCAATAAATATTCAGACAACAAAAAAAGAACCCGAACGCAGGGGCAACAAGTCGAATAATGAGCACTACATTCTGTACATTTTACACATAAAACATTCTAGAAGTCAGTTAGCACCATAGAATTCTACGTTAACGTTTTAATATACCAGTTTTTCGCCGGTACTGTCACCAATGCTCAGTGCCATTCCGAGTTCTATCTCGGAGATATTACTTCGTAGATCTTGTAGCATTGCGGCAATACGTTCTGAGTCTCGTCTGAAACATTTATTATATGCTTTTGCTAGGCGCTGTAACGGAATTCGATTTTCTTATTGAAAGTACCGTTGCAGGACTTTCTTCTTATTGTTGGAGCTTTAGATTTTTCGGATTTTCGATTTTTTTTTCAAATCGTATGTATGAAATTTAGCATGAGATGTGATAATAATGTTGTGATTACGTTTGGTATAAGTTTAAATTGTCAAAAGTGATTAAAAGCTCTCCTTTGCCGCTAGGGCGACGAAAAATGGAACGGCAATACTCTCATTGCCTCATTTACGCCTTCGCATTAGCAAATCACATAGACTGCTCCGGAACGATCGGGCTTGAGAAAAGGGTGAAATTCAAAATACAAGAGAGCTAAAGTGAACGAAGGTACCATATATCCTGCACTTTAACAAGTCCCTTATTTAAAAACCCCAATTTTTTTCTCTGTCTTTTTTTTGTTGATTTTCAGAGAGACAGATTTTAAATTAAGTCTCCAAAGCAATTACCTGGCTAAGACTTCATCGACATCTGAGGATGAAGATGAAGAGCTGAGCGAAGATGCACTTCGGGTAGTGTTTGTCGACGATGACTTCTTCCGGGGAAGGTCTGGTAATAAATCTAGATTTATGTCAAATTCTGTAAGGGTTGCTTGCTATTCGCGATTGATTGCATTATTTAATTGCTTCTATGAGGACGATTCGCCACTGCTACAGCAAAACCTTTGTAAATGCTGCGTTAAGCTTAAGGAGGTGCTTGGTTAAATGCAGACTAGCTAATGTTGATGCCTCTGTTTTTCAGCGCTAGTTTTTTTTTCATACGTTTTTATTAGTGCAATTTTGGTTACTGCGGCGTGCGGTAATGGGAATAAATAGTTATAGGTCTGGGGATCCCCAGTCTTCTCCTATGAACGCCCAAGTATTTTGTGATCCGATTTACGGGTGCGTTACAGCAGGTGAAATCCACAGCCCAGGACTAGTAGCGCTGAGACCTTCCCAGGTGGGTGATCCATGAACTTCTCAAAAGTGCATGATGATTCGTGAAAAGAACTGATTGGCCTCTGGGCTAATCGATAGCCAATGATCCGATATCTCAGAGCCAACCAGTTCCTCTCACGTTCAACTGATGTTAGAGAAGATAGGGTGGTTAGGGCTGGGCGGAGGAATAGCAGGTCCATCGAAATGTTTGGACGAGCTCCCACTTTGTATAGGGGAGTGAGCTTAATATCTATGTTGCAAAAGTGAGTGCGACTTACTTCGTGCATAGGCTAGGCGACACCACTGCAATGCTTCTTCGTCACACAGCGCCGCGTACTCGACGCATATCTGGGAGAATCGCAGAACGGCCAAGAGGAATGGCTCACCACGTGGAGGCAGGGCTGACAGAAGGGTACGGTGGTGCTCCTGAAATCATAGGTGTCAAGACGTGGCAGTTTTTTTGTTTTAGTCATCTTAGGCTGAGGGTGGCAGTCAAAGTGGGTACAGCGATAGTATTTTTGAGGAATTTCAGGAGATCAGGCTTATAGAGGGATTTTGAGCTGTACTTATGAGAGGGTCTGGAGAGGGAAACAGCCAGCTCAGATTTTGGCATAACTGCTTTCAAGGGCAAAGGGCGCCCTGGGGTTCACGACCTCACCGCTGTCTTAACAGAAGTATGCATGCTCGTCAGATTCTGGCGAAATCACTCCCACCTACTCAACCGGTATGAAGAGCAGAGACGTGGAGGGACAAGGATGATTGCTCCTAGTGAAGGCCACAACCAGTCTCTAAGACAGCAAAAACCGCTAGATTCCAGTAACCTCCTGTACTTGGAGGTGTGTTTGGATTTCAGGTAAGAAGAATGGGAGGTAGGGTTGACAGTGTTGTCAGGTCCTTGTTCAAAGGCTGTTTTTGACTTGCTGCGGAGTTGCATTCAGCCTTTGGATATGTGGGTCCGTGTGTATTTCGGGAAATAACCTTTAGAATTACCTTCATTTCGCGAAAATGTCGTTCCATTTCGCTTGTGAAATCAGAAAACCGTATTGTCGAATAGATCCAACACAAAAATGCCTGGTACTCGAACACGAAAAACGGCATCGTTGGATCATCTGAAGGAAGATCTTAGAGATGGATGAAATAGATTTTGTCTGATACTGAAGATGTGGACAGAGTTGCCAATGAGCGAAGTTTTACCGAGCTCTATTCCGATCTTCGAAGCAATTATACTTTTGACAACAAGGACGTACTGCGATATATTTTTGATTGTTAATGCTTCGTTGGGTGCCTCTGTGCTCAGAGACGAGTAGGGGACTAACAATGCCATATGTTACTTGCACATTGAATAGGTGGAGTTTGAGGGTTAGCGAATTCCCATACATTCGTCAAATCTTAATTACAAGTGGAATTTCTTGGTGCTTCGCTTCCAGAGGTAGCGTACGGGAGAGTTAGAGAATTTGGTGGTCATTGCGGCCCTATTAATTCAAGAGTTCTAGCGATATGTCAGGAAGTGCCGTCAACTCGTCGGAACTAGGTCACCGTGTACGCGAGGGACACCCCTATCGTGACAGGACCCTTCTTCAGACTGTATAAGCTTTATAGACTGACAAGAATAACGGTGGTTGCAGTAAGACGTTCCTACTAGTATCCAGGAACCATAGAGCTTGTTTTTGTCTAACAGCATAAAATGCTTGATTAAGAGTGGCAACGAAGAATCTAGAAAAGCGGTGGATTGTTTACCGAAGGGAAACGAAATTAAATGCTTGATTGACGTCTTACACATACTTCGCCTTTCTTCATCGACTAGTTCATTACGCAATTCCATCAATGTTGCACAAGCCTCGCGTAAACATCGTTTTCGCTCCGCAACCGTCCGCTGGGTGGCGTAGTCGGCTTGTAGCTCTCGTCGCAGCTG